CTCGAGATGGCACGACAGTAGAAATACCAGATTGCTATTCCCGTGATAGCCGTGGTAGAAAGTGTTTGGGGGAAACTGAGTGTCGCGCATGCTGCAGAAGCGCAAAGGCGGCTGAGGCGCCATTAAGTTGTTCTGTCCTGTCTCAATTCATCGCTATCATCTTAAACCTAGCGATTACTTCGCTCCTACCGTGTCCAAGAGTTGGTGCCGGCTCTCAGCTTGTGGGTCACCTCCCCGAGCTCTTCCATATCCAATTGGTGTTTTCTGCACATTCTCACTTGAACAGCCCGTCTTCTAGAACGCTTCCAACGTTTTGTCACTGTACGCCTTTGTGTCGTGCGTGGTGCAGTATGGCGTAGACGTTTAGATTTAAGCAGAAGAAACTGGCAAAACCAGCTTCTTCCCCTAGCTTATAAATTGTGTCGCACCCTTACACTCTAACCGCTAACATCGACATTTCATTAAGCGTTAGTGATCAACCAATGCAAACCATAACGAGCGTCGAGCCGGTTTTGCGTTAAAGAGTGAACTAGCTACGCTATCCTTTCCGCCCCCGCCCCCTCCCCCCCCCCCGATTTATTTGGGCAATAGCAATATTGTTATTCAGCCAGAAAAGCGTTGTCTGGTTTGGAAATGGTACATGAAAGCTACGCGAACGTTCGTTGCATTTTTACCGGTATGATACTATACGTTTGAAACAATTTCAAGTTTGCATGAAAGAGCGTGTTGGTCTTTTTTCATTTGTGCCTGCGATTCGCTACTCGGCCAAATATCTTACACCTTACACAATTTGATGGTTTTTTTTTTCTCGAACAGGATATTGATTGGTCTAGTCGGTTATTTTGGAGGGTTATTGACGCTATTCATTTTTAACGGGTTGAAAGGCTTATGGCATGGACAGCTAATTCTTTTCATGCGTGGTTACTTAAGGGAATGCTCCCCCATGTAAACATATCCCAAACAAGCGTCAGGTACGAAGAAATACGCTCTAATGACTGTTGGTATATTTTCAGGTGGAAAAGACCTGCTCTAGACAACACAATTTCTCTGTTTAATAGATATGCTCCTCAATACGTCATTGATTATGTTATTGTACCTTGCACAGCATTCACTTGGGAGCCAATTGGTGGCAGTTGTATCTGGAAATCTTGCTCACAAACACCAGATATGAGCGATTTGAAAATTATATTTTATTGGCCCTGATCGCCGCATGGCTGATGGAATAGCATGATTTAAACGGCATTATCATGACGTCATGGATGCCTGGGTGACCTTGCAAAAGTTTCCCCGAAACAGTGCGACATCTTCACGGGCGTATACCTCGAAAGCTAGACGAGTTTTAGGTCTAAAGAAGGACAGGGCAGTGAGTTGCAGCGAATGATCTTCAATATGTCTATTTCAGTTCAAAACTCCAAACAAATGTGGAACACTCTCTTTGATAATGAAATTTCAGGGTGCCACGCAACAGAACCATTTATTTTTGTTAAAACAGCTTGCTTCCAACTGCATGGCAATCTCTAAATATTAGGTTATGATGCTTTAAGAGTGACTCATTTGACATTCGTCTGATATCACAGGAATGCATCTTGGAATGCGTCATGCTCTTGGCAAGTGTTCTATTTTTACGCTGCTATTCTGGTTTATTTCAATGGATGGCTATAAAAATTAATTTGAGGCCGTCAGGTAGAAGTGTTTCTGAATCATATCGGGGTAAGCATGATCATTGTTAATCGCACCAGCATACTAGGGATCCAAGTCCTCATAAAGCAGGCTCGTTGCGAGCAGCTCGTCTAAAGCTCGTCCAAAGTGACCGATATCCATAGATTTACAGAAAGAACGGGAGGCATGTGATTACCGCAAGTTCACGCAGAGTTTCAGCCCCAGCAGCGAGTGGCATCCCAGAGCCTGCGGCTATGGGTGCGCCCGGGACGCTTGCCTAAATTGCCATTGATCCCATTATAAAATCACTTGAACGTCATTCCATCGACAGGGAATATTAGCCCCCGCATCTGCCCTCTCGGCCCAGGTGTGGTGGGTTCCAGGCCAGCCTGGACGCAGAGCGGGTGGGCGCACAGTGGGTTCTACTTGAGTTCAGTTTGCGTGGCTCTGTGTTAATTTCCGGCATTGAATGGCTAACAGGCCGGGGACCAGCCATCTCATTATTCGTAGCACTTGTATGGCGTGTGAACACAGTAACCCGGCTTGTCGAGGACTTGTATCTTAGCGTCATCCGAGCGAATTGTGCGCATGTTGGCATATTGGTGTATTGGTACAACACCAATGATCTAGCTTCACGAATATGATTCAGAAACGCTTAGCTAATGGACCAATAGCATGGTTTAATTTCCATGATCGCACGTTAAAAACATGAGCGGACGTTAACGGGCTCATCTCCACGCCAGTCTGCGGAAAGCCACTGTTAATGGGCATGGTCTCCGTGTACTGCTCCCTTTACTGGTCGAAACTGGTCTCTGACACACACTTTTTAGATGCTGTTACTGCGTGAAAATGAAAGGTGGAAGGCAACAAACGCATACGTATTAATGGTTCATGGTGCAAAATACGTAAGTTAAGTGCATTTGCGAGGAACATTATACACATAAGTAAGACAATGGTAACAACCTTATTCCGCGTAGACAAACCAGAAAAATTGAAATATAGATGCGTTCATATCTCGGCAACATGCCTTCATCGAAGCAAATAGCAGTCTTCTTGTATTCATTTCGATAAAGACATGTTGCTGAAATATCAACGCATCTATATCTTCATTTTCCCGGTTTTTCTACGAGGAAGAAGGCTAGTACTGCCTTCTTATTTATGGGTTCATAATCCAGCTGAAATTAATCCCGTTGTCTATCCTTCCTCGAGGTGTCTCTGCGCAAAATGCTACATCTCCATTCCTGCATTCCTTCATTTCACGTATTCATATAGAGTTTGCTACATGCTCAGTTCACAGCACCATAGTGCTCGCATGGGTTTGAAGATAAACTCGGCTGTGTCCCTTCGCAAAACCTGCACACCCCTCTCCTTTTTAAGCAGCTTTCACAAAGGAGCATTACAGGCGGGTCGCCGCCACCAGCGGTGGACCATCAGCTGACGGCCGCAGCAATGAGCTCCGCTCAAGTGAAGTGTCCCAACTCACCCTCATTCAGATCGCTGCACACGGCTGTTGCTCATGCCCACGCTTTGTGAGCACCGTACTTCATTTGCAACGCGCAGCAGCGTTGGGGTCGCCAAGAATATTTGTATAATTGCATGGCCTCCCCTTTTTATCAGCCCAGTCGTCAAGCTAGTTCCGCCTCTGCTGAATGTTTGGCTGAAGCCTGCTTTTTGATAACAGGGTAGAGCACCATCGCATTTGTTCCGCATGCATTCAATAAAAATACGCGGTTTAAGGACGATTGTTGTCTCCCTATTTTGCATTCCTGGACACACACAGTATTTTTAACTTAAAACTGTCGTTAGAGCAATTCAATCGCAAAATATGATCTGGCCCATTATTCTAAAATCTTAGCATTGGAAAAATACCACATGGTGAGAAATTAGCCACCGTTTGGTCTTCATGATCGATCAAATAGTTTCCGAGATTACAGGTGGGGCAGGTTCTAACCCCTTCCTCCCTCCTCCCCGCTGTCTGGAATAGGAATGATTGGGAAGTGATCTGCCTACAACAGGGTTATGCACCTTCGTTTTGGTGTGACGGAATGTTTTGCCTCGGTCCTCTGGCGTATGAAACTCAAAAGATTTGTTTGCCTCCCTGGTGGCGCCGCTTTCTCGATCTCATGTTTTGCAAGTGGTCATACGTGCAATACCGCAACAGAGCGGCTTCTCCATCTCATCCTAATTCTCACGCCATAGGCCCTGGTTGCACTGTATGCTTCGTTTCCACTAAAAATAAATACACATAGACGCCCGGAACACCCAGCACGCCAACGAAGACCCACCCATTTGTTTCATCCAAACCCAAACAAACAAAACATAACAACCTAACTAAAAAAGCAAAACTCGCTCGAGCGCCCCGATGCGTCATGCAGCTCCTGAATTTATCTCCCCGCGTCACATACGCAACGTATCTGAGAATGCTTCGTCACAGGCCATGACGGCAATCGACTCTGATCGAAAAACAACGTCGCTACGGAAGGGTCGATGCTGAGACAGAGATCTGATCTGAGAGACGTAGCGCTGAGATGTCGATCTGATCATTTGACATAGCGGGAAGCTCGTTTTAAAAATAGGAAAAATAAGAGGGCGCCTGGAGGAGTGTGAATTATTATTTTAGCACGTTTTATTGCACAAATGCCATATTTTGCATGTTAAGCGCCTGAAAAGATTTTGATTGGCGTAGCACCTCATCGAAGGGCTGTATTTTCTGTTTACGATCACCTGTCAAGTTTAGCGCACACAGTTTCAAGTTATGTTCACATGTTTTGAAGATAACAATATATTCTTGAGTTATCTTCCACATCGTGCACATTTTCCACCTCATGATATCAGGTTGAAAGCCGCAAGCGAAATAAGTAAGACACTGATTCTCTGTCAACTGATTTATTGGATGTCATCCTGGTTCGTCACGTGCCTAACGTTGTCATGTATATGCTATCACTCATCAGGCCGCTGTCATACGAGCTCGACTAGCAACTCAACATTACTTTAAACAAAATGCCCCATGCTAAAACAACACACGGACATCACCGCATACGGAGCACAATGTGAGTGCAGCACAAACAACAACCGAGACGAAAACGCCGTTTCCTTTGTCATTTCATGACGATAATAATAATAATCTGAAGTGACTAGATCTTCCTCTCAGCTCTTCGCTGCATCCGAGTCTGGCGGCGATCCAGCATAGCTTTCCAGCCGCCAGGCCCACAAGCTACTGCACAGCAGGTTCCTGACCCGCCTGGCCGGCTAGCTGCTGTACAACAGGTACCTGACCCGCCTGGCCGGCTAGCTGCTGTACAAGTACCTGACCCGCCTGGCGGGCTAGCTGCTGTACAGCAGGTTCCTGGCCCGCCTCACCGGCTAGCTGCTATACAGCAGGTACCTGACCGGCCTGGCCGGCTAGCTGCTGTACAGCAGGTACCTGAGCCGGGCCGTCTCGTTCTTGAGCCAGGCCATTTCGAGGCGCAGCTGGACGTGTTCCGCCTCGAGCAGGGCGCACTTGACGGCCACGCTGTCTTCCTTGGCGCGTCGCGCGTCGCGTGACTTCTTGGCCGCCTCGTTGTTCTTCTGGCGGCGGTTCTCGCTCAGAGGCGCCTTCTCACCATCAGTTCCGTGACTGTTGAGCCCCTGGTGCCCGCTCGCGGCGGCCGCCTGTGTTGACGCGGTCGTCTTCGGCTTCTCGTTATCAACAGCCGCTTCAGACTTGCCACGCGAGTCTGATGCTTCTCGCTTTTTGTTTGAAACATCGTGCTGTACTTTGCTTGAAGAAATTGCCTCGTGCGCTTGAACTGAAGCGGACGCTTTGCTACTCTCCTTTTCATATAACAGTATTGCTGGTGGTCCTCGAGGAGCTTTTCTTAATTCCGTGGCAGCAGAAGTCGCTGGAGGTGGCCGGGCAAGTGCTGTGGGACTGTCGATCAGACCTGGGGACAATGACCGCATTTTCAACCCGGCTTGAACGCATGGAGACGCGCAGTTGGCTTGCGTTGTTGTTCTTTGTGACAAAGTAAGGTCCTTCTCCCACGCAAATTGGAAGTCCCCGTCATGTGGGTTGAACCATCGAGAGCTTACCGTCTCCTCTGCTTTCAAAGGCAACGCACCGCTGGGAGGCGATTGGTCCTCATCTTCGTCGGTATTCTCTCTCTTAATCGGTTGAATACCCGCAGGTAATGGCGTCTTGAACGCATTGGGATCCACATCGGTGGCTGGCGTTGCCACCTCCTTCACAGCTGTTGTACTGTTACTTAACTTCCCATGTGTTGACATGGAAGAGTAGCACTGGCTAGAGAACGAGACGCGATTTTGAACAGCTGCGTCTATCTGAACACGCTTAGAGACTGGCGCTCCACCGCTCGTTCCATCCCCGCTTCTCTTTGCAGCCACTTTATTGGCCGCGCGTCTCTGGTCGCCGGCTGCGAGGCGCACTGGCGACAGCTGGCTGGTCCGCCTCTCAGCTGCCGACGCTGGCGCTGGCGGCAGCGGTGACGGCAGCCAGCAGCCGCCGACGCTCCAGGGCGCAGCGGCCGGCAGCGCCAGCTCATCCCGTCCTCGGGTCAGCGGCCAGGCTGTCTGGTCGGCCGGCCCGACCAGCGGCGGCCAAACGCCCGGCAGGTGCAGCGCCCGCGCCGCGGCGAACGGCAGCAGCGGCGGCGGCGGCGGCTTAGCGGCCGGCAGGCCTGCGAACGCGGCGAAGGCGGCCGGCAGCAGCTGCGGCAGCTCCAGCGGCAGCGGCCGCAGCACGCCCCCGCACTGACGAGCTTCGGCACCGTCCGAGCAGGGCCCGCCCTCCATAGAATCCATGCCCCGGCACGGGGCCGGCAGATAGCGGCGGAGCACCTGTGATGTCTCTTGCGGGCAAGCCTGCGTCCGTCCGTCTCGGTGGACGAGCCTTGACCTTGACTCGGTGTTAAAGTCCTGGACGGTGTGGAACCCAACGCCGGTCCTATAAGCAGCACACACTCGCGCCCTGCGCTCTCAGCGAGCCGTGCCGTATCACTGTCCGATTAGCTGCCGGCTTTGTTTGTAAGCGTCATATCCATGCCAATAGCACCAAAACATTATGCCATCAATTCAGCGCAGGCCTGCCTTCCCTCCGCTCCCATCGCTTTCGTCCTGGGCCGGGCGGGAGCTAGGTTCGCGCAGAATCCGCACCAAGCATCGATTGCGATTAACCGGTGTGTATCATCCCATCAGGTCATAATACGCCAGCCGTTAATTACGTGCCGGCCGGGCCGCGCCCGTGTCGTCGGTAACCAAAAATCAACGGGCCGCAGGTGTGCCAGTCCCACGCCGTGCCATAGGCGGCGGGGACCCGACAGGGGGGAGGGAAGGGGGTCACCGCACACCGCCCTGGCCGGCCAGGATCGCCCAGCTGACGTCACCCGCCAGGAGGGGCGGGGCTCAGGTCACCTGGAGTCGCCCCTGGTCGTGCCGTAGGTCGGGGGATCGCCACGATTATTGCCGAGCCGGTAATTACACGGTGTCTCGTGAATATGTGAGGAAGACACCACCGGAAACCACGCACGGCAAATTGCCGGCCCGCGCCTGAGAGTTATTTTGATGTTTCGTATCACGCAAGCGACGAAGGGCGGCCGCACCAAATAATTCACGGCGCCTCAGGCCTTATCGAACCTGTGGCTAACAGGACACCCTCCACGACGCCTACAGCAAATCGCTGACAACGCAGCAGGGCTCTGGCACGCGCCCCATACCAGCTTCGTTCGACAAGTAGCAGTGGACAGGTAGGGAAAGTTGCGTTTGCGCTTCTTACTGGAGTCTCTTCGACTACCATTGCCTGCGCCTCATTCTGCTCCAGCGCACAATGCGTCTGCTCCGGACGGAACTTTCAATAGCGTGACAACTATAACGCTTTAACATGTCATGTGTTGACCCGAGGTCAACCACTCTGAGGCAGGCGAAACATGGACGGATAGTCCATACTGGTACTTAATCCCTGCCTTCCTTCATGACGTCAGGCTCCGTGTTCCATCGGCACTGGCTACGATTCTTGCAAGAATAGCTGCGTGTTTGTGAATGTTCTGAGGTGTACAGCATACGTTTATATGATCAGATTGGAAAGGCGCATCAGCCCCAGGACGCCAGCCTGACGGGGGCAGGCTCCAAAGTGCGCCTTTGACGGTGCTTGTCACAGGCACTTTAAGCACCATGTAACACACTGCAATGCCCGGGAGATTCGCATCACGGTGCAGCTGTCGCCAGTGTGGCGAGCTGTGCGATAAACAAGCAAAATAGCCGGCCGGGCGGCCGAGAAAAGTGAAGGATTTGCAAACAGAGAATTGGTTGTTGAGGCAGAATCGAATGGCGTTGATCAATTAGACGGGGCGGAGTCGTGACTCTGTGACATTGAGTCCATTCCTCTCTGTATCGATCCTGGGCATTGTTCTGTCCCTCCTGCGGCGGGAGGCTCGCACGGCTCGCTGGAGTCTGCCGATCGAGAGGCCTCACATTTCCCACCGCCATCTTGGGACCTCTCACCCGGAGCGGTGGCATGGACAAGGGTTTTCAACTGACAGTGAGTGCCTTGGTTCCCTCAATGCTGCTCCATCCTCCTCCCATCTGCTGTGTAAGCAATATCGTCAAAGTTGTCTTGTCAAGAAGCATTTAGTACAGTCTTTCGCTCAAATCTGTCTTCAAACTCTGATGAAGTTATAAAAATCCCGTTATTCTGGATGGTCTAAATCGTCCGCACAGCACTAATTCTTCGGAATCGTATATTTAACTCCTTGTGCCCACTTTTATGTCAAGTGGCACAAAATATGCCGACCATGGGATGCAGCCGTCATTCAAGTAAACTGTTTGTACGTTGAGCATAAAATAATTATTGTATCCCTTCTTAGAACTTCCTGATGGAGACTGAACTCATGCCGCCCTCTTTGCTTTAATTGCGTGGGCAAGGGAGATCGCCAGGGGAGAACCAGGGCCTAGAAAAGTCATTGAAAACGGAAGAGGAATGTGTGTGAAAGACATTCCGAACGTGCCTGACGGCGGCAAGCGAGAACTGACCGGACGTTCCAGCCCCTGAGGACCTCATGCTGCCGCTGGCGTGAGTCGTAGCACAGGAACTGATCGACTGACTGATTGTCAGCTACGAGCAGCGTCCTCCAAAAGTTAGTGGGGTGGGAGAATCGGCCTGGTGCGAAGCGCGCGGTCCGTATGAGAAAGGTCGATTCCGTCGTCCAAGTCGCAGCATGCTCGGACATTTCGACAGCGAAACCGAACCATCCGTCGCAAGGGGGCGTCCAGCCATGCGGGTCCCCTGACCGACTGACCGCTACAAGGTCAGCCAGCCAGGGTCACGCCCGCCCGAGCCGGTTGTTGCGTCAGGAGGCGACGTCTGTTCATCTGTCGGCGGACAACTCAGGTGCGAACAGCTTTGTCGCACGTCACAGAGTCCACCTCTCCCACGCCGGTTTTTTACGACACAGGACGATGCTAATAACGCTACAATTAATTCAGTCATTATCGCCATCGCTGCGCATTCGCCCTCCGAATTCGGCCCGCCATCCCGTGACCGGTCGTATTTGCGCCGTATTTGCCGCCCGGCAGAAGCAGCCAGTCTGACGCGCCGACGCGCCGACCCAGTCCCTCGCCTCCCCTCCCCCCCCCCCCCGTCCCCGTATCCCCACTATCAGCAGGTGCGTGGCGAGATACGAGCGTGGGGTGGGGCCCTACCGATACCGTGACCAGTCCGGGGTGTCATTACGGGGCGCCGTAACTCAGCCGCCCTGTGAAGGACGCGCGTCGCTTGACCGGTATACAGAGGGCGTCTGACCGATATACTGCGCGCGCACCAGTGTGACTAATTTAGTATTTGGGTCACAGAAACGGCTGTGCGTGTCATAGAGGCGGGTTCACGTAAAACCTGGTTTATCTTGCCGTGAATCTAGTTGCGATGCGGGCTTATCCAGTCGCATGCCGTCATATGTCTTATAGGCTATGCTGAGTACGCGCAATGACAAACAGATTCCATGGGCAGTGATGTAGCCAGGACTTCCTTAAGTAAGGCCCGGAGCTCGGTGAGTGCACATCGCGCCGGTTTTTCTGTTCCGCATGCATTCTGTCGTGAACCATCTATGGTGAAATACGGAAAATTTGAGTTTAAGGGGGTTTGGGCCCTCCGGCTTCCCCATCGCTTGTGCTCCAAATATGGAATATATTCCGAACATGCAATACATTTATTAAATGATTTGTATAGACCTACATGGATTTATTAAATGCATCCCTTTCCATGTATAAACGCCTTAACATTCATTTATTATACGCATTTATATACATATACTAAAGGCACTCCTGTTCATGTAATATATGTGTGATATGCAGTTCTTGTATGGATTATATGGATATGTAATTATGATATGGAATCTATGCAGATTTATTTATTATATGCATTACATGCATATACATTTCATATGTATTTATTTCAGCTGCAGATAGTTCGAAGCACTATTAAAGCCACACCACTACTCATGGAATCCGCTGTCCTCGTTATTATTAGCTTCGGAACGCAAGTAGTTCTCAGAACCTTCCGCAGAACATGAGTACGCAATCAGGGTTTTTGCCAGCTGCTACAGCAAGAGCTTATTGACTTCATCTTCCGTCCGGACCTTCAATTCAGAGTCGTAAATGGAGTCACGGGCTTTTAAAAAAGAGAATCAATCCTATTCGAACAAGGTCAACGCGAATGCAAAGCAAGCCGATCCAAAATGTTTCTTTAAATTCTGTGCTGCTTCGGTTTGATTGGCAGAAATATGCACACACTTTCTGTCAAAACCTGCCAGCACAGTGCTCATTAATGGCGCTTAACTGCCAGGGACTATTTACCAGACGAAAATCGATCTCAGCAAGTACGCAAAAGCCAACCTTAGTCCTGGTTCCGACCAAGTTCACTACCTAACCAGATAATTATCCATTGCAGCTTCCTTTATAGCAACCCCATGGCCGTATCAGATAATAGAGGAGAATGAACGAAGCTCCATAGTGAGATAAATACGGCTTACCCAGGTCGAGCAGTAGGAAATGAACAAGTTTTAACTTGATGCACCCGTAGGTACACCAGCGTATGGTTCTGTAGCACATGTGTTTATATTCTACACTGTCCATTTTCTACACTGCGTCACGCTTGGCTAAAACACGAGAATGTTTTTTTTTAATTAACTGTATTCCCTGCTTGCTTGCTTTAGAGAGGTCAAAATGGAAAGAAGAAAGCACATTAGACGTTATTACCTGTAAGATGTAGCGTTAGGTTTCACAAACTATGCGTCTAGGCTGGAATTTTGATAAATTTTTGTATATTGAACGATCCACTTTTTACATCATGCTCTCACCGCTTGCACGATGGGGTGTAACCAGCTCCTGATGTATATGCATCAGGCGGGCGAAACGAATGCGAAATGGACAACGGCTCCTCTCGCAATCAGCGCACACGCTTCACCCGCCGCCATCCTCGAGCGCGTATGGTGTCCGAGTCCTGTCAAGGATCGCATCCCTTGTGGACCCGATTCTGACTGGGTGGCCTCCGCCGGAGCCTGCGATGCTCGGTGTGTCGTCAGCAAGGCTTGCTTTGTGCTCGCGCTTCTTGAACTTTTGCATAATTTGTAGCATTGTTGTTAGCAAAAAAAAAACAACATTGTGACAAATACGAACTCAGTTCTGGATGGAGGCCACAATTTATTTGTGTTGCATAATGGGGAACAAAGTAAATTTTTAGTGGCAAACGACGATCTTCAATTTGATAGCCTTCGTGTGCTCAGCGGCTATATCTGAAACATGTTCGGAGTGCAGGACTGTTCGCAAATATGAACAAAAATGCCTATTGTGCAATAAAAAATAACTCGCATGATTACCCTTCATGCTGCCCTTATCGACCACGATTGGCAACAAGAACAATTTCGAGAAGAATTTTTTCACGCGGCCCAACATTTGCGCGCAAGTTGAAGTAAGGACTTGTCGCTTCGCAAGCGAGAAAGAGCAATGAACAGCTAACCTAGAATTGTTTTCATAGAACGGGAGGCAACTCGCTTAAAATAAGCTTGAGAGCGTCAATCGTGCAAAAAGGGTCATGAATCAATGGCGAACTGATGCACATAACATAATCGAACGCGTCTGCATCCAGTTAAGAGGAACTTACATATTCTGCGTACCTAACGGCGCAATGATATAACATCATCTTCTAGAGGTACGATAGTAAAGAGATCGACATAAAATGCTGTAAATGAGCTAGTTTTATTTTATTACATTAATTCCATTCCCTGGATATTGTATTTCGCCACAGGCCGCCAGCTTGCCGGCTTTCAGCTGTGGCATGTCGGACGAAATGGCCTTATTTACTATGATTTACCACTTTTTTATAACCGATATGCTTCAGTGTGCGTGTGCTTTCATTTTGGCTGTCTTTTCTGCTAGTACTATTGGGTTGTCCTACCAGTGCTGCGCTCTGGTATAAAGGTGACCTTTCGGGGTCATCATAGATCGTCGAACTAGGCTTAGCTTCATTTTTATATTTCTTAAATATCCTCAAAAACGTTTGCCCGTGAAGGAAAGTGTACCGTTTCCGTCGCCATCTGACGCTTGTAAGCATGGCTGATGATGGCCTTCAGCAATCATAGGGATGTCCTTGTATGATTATCAGGTACTGCAATTTTTGCTCTTAAGCTTTTTGACGAATATCATGACGTTGCACATCAGTAGCTTAGCCAGTATTTGAAGAAGCATAGTGACTTCAGTCCCGTGGAAAAGAACCATCTTTAGGAAGGATGGAAGGACCCGTGCACAGGGTCGTAACTTGCTCGAGTGGTCCCTGAACTGATCGGAAACCACTGGTCCCTAACGGGCAGGGGTTTACGAAACGGCCATCGCTTTCCTGTGATTTACATACTTGTCGACAAAAACAGTGCCACGAAAGCCGGGGAAATCATGAAATCACATGACATTCCTGATGTGCCACCCCAGACTGCGTTGCCAAAATGATAATATGGTAACCAGCCGTGTTACTCGAGGTGCCAAGACAGGAAAATACCTCAGGCGTTAACTCTCGCATTATGAGGGTTGACTCTCGCCTCTCATTCCCCTTCACAATAGTTGTTGAACTGTTTTGACCACGGTTCTCAGCTTCTTAGGTTTGTCACCGTTTTGGTCCATGATTGGTCATCTGCTTTTGTCCAGGTTATGTCGGTTACATTGTGCTAAGAAGTGACCACTTAAGTTATTTCTTGTTTGGAAATGAACTCCAAGGACATTGTATAGGTCGCCTTTCTGATTTTTACTGCTCTTAGTGCATTACTATCGCTCCGGTTGCTTTCACATTTTGAGCCCGTGAAGGTCATGTTGCGTCAAGATTTGCCCTGTTTGACCGAAAACTCGCTGTTTGACGCTTATGCGACTGAAACATATGCCTTAAGGTTTGAAGAAGGCCTTGGCAAACCTGTTCCTCCATTCATTTCACTTGTTTAGTCCTTGAGATAAGTGAAAGAGTCATTGCAACAATCCCTTTCACTACTTGACCTGACATGACATATCACAGGTCACACCTCTCGATTTCAAGTAGTGACCACCTGATAGAGTTTTCCAATAATTATTCAACTCCAAGCTCCACTTTGTCGTAGCATGCTTAATTATTGGGATAGCGGGAGGGATATTTGAAATGCTGATGTAATCCCTATTTCCTGATTCGACCTGCCAAAAGTCACATATTCCACTGTCCCGCCAAACGTGTCCGATGCAGCTTACCAAGACCTTTCCAACACCCTTTTCCTTGTGACTCCAGCTTGCTTATCTTTTTCGATCTTAAGTAACCTTTGAGACCTCTCTCTGTAAGGCCGCGCTGGAAAGCTCCCGTAGAGCGAGCGTTAAGCCTCCACGTCCCTAACAAATCGAGCTACAGGCTCATTTGTGTAATGATCACCACATGTAACACGTGAGCGCGGGGGTCTGCTGGCAGTACCGGTTCTGGACGTATGCCCTCCGGTCCGTAGTATTTCACTGGCGACCTTGGCAGAGATACTCGCCTCACAGCTGCTATAAGACAGGCTGACTGGTAGCCGGGGACAACAGAGTCCACGGTGGCGCAGGATCAGTCACATCTCGCTCAGTAGTTCACTTCAGCATGAAGGTAATAGCTTTTAAGAATAGTAATTTGATAGCATTTGAGCAGAACAAAGTCACGCCCAGGGAAAGGGTAGCATTCTGATCAGTTATGCCGTCCTGACGTGTCTAGAACATAGATATGCAAAGAATATGTATACTTATATATATATATATATATATATATATATATATAAAACATCAACCTGTTTGAATTTGCATGGCACCTGGCGTAGTATCGCAAGTTAGGCTAAGGTTTCCCTGAAAAGTGTGTGACTAGAACTCTCCGGTCATGTCATTTCCAGGTATGCAAGCCGTTTGACCATGCAGCGTTTGTTTCATCTCCAGGTCCTGTTTGTGTTTGCCGTGGTGCTGGCCCTGGCCACCGCCAGCGATCTCCGTCGCTACGGAGGAGAGCAGGAGGAGGAGGAGGACAGCGACCACACCCCCTACCAGTTCAGCTACTCTATCGACGATGAAGACACCGTGTTCTCCCAGAGTGAGGAGGGCGACGACGAGGGAGACGTCACCGGAGAGTACTCTGTCAACCTGCCCGACGGCCGCGTCCAGACAGTCAGGTACTTCGGCGACAACGAGGACGGCTACACGGCCGAGGTCAGCTACGAGGGCGAGGCCCAGTACCCTGAGGACCAGTCGTACCAGGCCGAGGAACGCGAGGAGGAGGGAGGAGGAGAGAAGAAGAAAGGAGGAAGAGGAGGGAGGAGAGGAGGAGGAGCTGGTTCCCATCTATGCTTACCGGCCAGTGTACAACTAGTAAATACAATGGCTTGCGGCATTCCATGGTCAGTAAAGTCATAAGTATTGTCGTGTTTTATTATATTCCTCCTTGGAAGAGTTGTAAGAGCCTAAAGGAGACATGTCCATTGCAACCATGGCCGTGTGTCGTATTATGTCATGATCTCGCCAATACCTTGTTATGAAATACAAACATTGTAAACGGTGCAAACACTTTTAAACAGGCAAGAATGACCTTTGGTGCACGGTTTTACGCCTTATGAACTTCTTTGTTGAAACGGAGAGAGAGAGAGAGAGAGAGAGAGAGAAGAGAGAGAGAGATAGAGGAGAGAGAGAGAGAGAGAGAGAGAGAGAGAGGAGAGAGAGAGAGAGATAGAGAGAGAGAGAGCGAGAGAGAGAGAGAGAGAGAGAGAGAGAGAGAGAGAGAGGAGAGAGAGAGAGAGAGAGAGAGAGAGAGAGAGAGAGAGAGAGGAGAGGAGAGAGAGAGGAGAGAGAGAGAGAGAGAGAGAGAGAGAGAGATAGAGAGAGAGAGAGAGAGAGAGAGAGGAGAGAGAGAGAGAGAGAGAGAGAGAGAGAGAGGAGAGAGAGAGAGAGAGAGAGAGAGAGAGAGAGAAGAGAGAGAGAGAGAGGAGAGAGAGAGAGAAGAGAGAGAGAGAGAGAGAGAGAGAGAGAGAGAGAGAGAGAGAGAAAGAAAGAGAGAGAGAGAGGTGACATTCACTTAACCTAAAACCAGATACTTTTAAAAACACCTGAATTTCTATTTGTTGGCGTGTTGCATTTCACTCAAATCGCAAACGTGAAGCTTCCATAGGCTATGTGTCATTCCAACCTCAGACAGACTGGTGTATGGCTATCAGAATAGCCAGTATGTCATGACTAGTAAGTTGGCACTGTATGACATGCTGTGAGCAGCTTGCGTTAGCCATATTCTTTGTGTTCATCTATTTGCGTGTGTCTCAGCTATGACTTTCCAGAATATGTCAAACGTACAAACACGTGTTGGCATGAGCTTACTTTGAGCAAGGATAACACTCATCTCATAGGTTTTAGGCATGACGAGTTCTTTTTCAAAATAGTTGAAATTCAGTAGGCTTGCAGGCACTTGTTAAGTGAAGTAGTCACACAACATTGCTATATGTTATGAGAAAATTGAACATCTAGAGGAAGTCCTCGTGGTCAAGGGTGAACCTGATTACACCAAAATTGACGTTCAAAACCCTATGCAGCGCGAAGTGCAGGACGTACTCCTGATATGTGCAAACTGTCAACAAAAATACAACAAAGGAATAAAAGAATAAGCTCCAACATCCCAACACCCAATTCAAGACATAGACAGAGGGTTAAGCTAAAACACTGGCGACTTCTTCGAAAACTTTCGTCGACCTGTACCGAACATAAGGTGCGATTATTTGATCATACAATGGAACCATGCATAACGTACGATTTTTCATTCTATGTGCATACAGTTCTATGATTATTCGTATGAAGTGACGTCCCAGACATAAGGCCTATACCCGTGCCATTGGGATCGAGAACGGAACGCATTATAAACGGTACCACGGAAAGCACACAGTCTGCCTGTGTTGTTGATGTTGTTGCGATGTACTTCACACATGTGATGAAGTGAACATATTCGGCTCTCCTCCATGTCTTCCCACTTCTCTTTCCTCCCCATGTCTTTCATGCGTCGTGTCCGCGAGGCCATAGTATTGTGCCACCTTGTACCATTGAAAGCCAGGTGTTTCGATCAGTCTGTTACTTTTACGCAAACGTTGTTATGCATCACACCAATTTCCGCGCACCAGTAATGCAGTGGCATGACCATTCACCACCAGCTTTCATGTACTGCAGTAAGGTGAGGATGTAGCAGAGGACATGATACGTGGACTTGACATGGATTCTATCTCCAGATTAAACCCTGTTCTGTTCAGAGAACAAGAAAAACAGCTCCTTAAAGAGGGTCTGATGAAATCGCCAGTGTTTGCTGTATCAGTAGCGAGAACGTATGCTAGTAGAACGTAGTATCTAATAGTGAGAGCAAATGCAAATGCTCAAATGCAAATAACCAACGCGGATGGGAAATACAAATGCGAGCAACATGTACTACTGCTTAAACGCTCTCAATAACACGCAGGATGACATCCATGCATTGACGTAGACAGGCACTTGCCGTCCAATGACGTTTTTAGGATAGCATCCGAGCGGCACCATATATCCTACCTGTGGAACGGCGGAATCCTCAACATCCCCGTCTGATGCTGTTTGTGACACAATCAACGCCGATGTTAACAGAAAATACTCCGTAAATTGAGATACATATCCCGCCGGGTTGACTCATTACATGAGCATTGGCCAGACCGGATCGGGCTAAAGGTTTATGCAGCATGGCATGCGCTAAGATCGCATTTCAATGTTGCTGGGCGTTTATACGCGCTGGATTTTCTGCACAATGTTGACATTACTTGACTTCCACATAGGAAACTTGCATCATCATCGTGCACCTATCTAAGCTAGGGTCCAATTTTGGCCCTTGTTTCCATACGTTCTGGTCACGTATCATGTACATTTCATTCATTCGAAGATTTTGCAAGATCGCGTCTTTACCTGGGCGGCTCCTATTTACCCCGAAAGGTGTCTCTTGGTCACTAACCCAAGCTGACCATCATCTGATATTTGTTTTATGGCATGTCCTGTACTGCACCAATCCGTTAAGATGCATCGTTGTTTAAGGTTGTCAGTGTTGCGTCTTCATCTTCATGTGCCAATTTGTCGTGAAAGATCGTCAGAGGGCATTGGCATAGATGACCTTAGGGCAACTTATTAATCTCGGTGCTACGCCAACACCAAGTACATTTAGCCAGCGAGCCATTAACACCAATGCTTTTATGACTTGTCATCAGTTTACGTTACGTCTAATCCAACACCACATCATAACACCAACACTTACTAATGTCCATAAGTCTTGCAGCCGTTTGAAGGGAGTGCCCCCCCCCCCCCTCCATTGGAGCATATTTCAACAACATACTGTAGTGAAACCCCAGGACTAGCTATGTCTCATGCAGTGGCACTGGGAAGAGGCACGGCATGAGACTTAATAAGGATATTTTATATTATTTTCGAGTCCAAATTACGCTGTCAACGCCTTATAGCAGCACTGCATTTCTTCCCTGCAGTCCCGACGACCGTCATCATGACAACGACCATGTACTCCCCCTACTGGTGCGAAAGAAAGAACTTTTGTGATTGACACAACGGGCAATGGCCTGTTACCGGGAGTTCGGCTGGTTGAATTTTGAACCAGTGCGTCACATGGATCATGTGATACTGCCATTCTGACAGCCAAAGTGCGCCTCGAAAAAAAAGCCATTGTAGTAAACGCCAGATGGGAGAAATCGAAATCACAGTGTAACGTTTCGTTGAATTTGTGGGATAACAGCTCTATGTTCACAAACCTTTTTAAGCAGGGTGTTTCAGACTTTCGTAGCATTTTTTACACAATCATTTTGGCAGAGTGTGTTGCGAACATTACAGAATAAACACGTTGGAAAAGCAAGGCAAACTAAATGCATTGCTTTCATAGTGGTGGGCGAGGAGTCAAATGATGCTTCTCCCGCAGTGTCAGCCACTTCGAATCAGAATTCTGAGCTATTCAGAAGGATTCGAGCAAACTAGTAGCAATGATCAAATCGCAGGCGTCTGGATGTAACAATATGTGAAAAGGGGAAAAAGGTGGCATACTCCCTTTAACGAAAGCAGCGTAAGTCATTGCGTGCTCCTCGTGTCGGTCTACCACAAGTTAGATTACTCAGTTTTACATGAGGTGGTCAATTACAACCGTAAATTTACGACTTAAACGTTCACGAAAGTAAAGATTATTCGTACACGTTTACATGAGCCGATCAGCGAATAAATCATACATTTACGATGGAACCTAGCATAAGGTACTTGAGTTATGTGATTGTTTGCGTCAGTTCTACACTTATGGCGCAAGTGCAGTACAAAACAGCGCGCTTAGTCACAAAGGAACCGAGCTTTTCAGCGCCCAGTCAGCAGGTTGTGCAGACCAAGATGGATTGAGGGCGGAGATGATACATGGCTCAAGCCGTATTTTTGGTATTGTTCCGTGGCAAGCAGCTGGAAGAAGGCAAAAGGGCTGATCAAGTCATTGACTGAAAGGGGGGGGGGGAGTGTCAGAGGCTCTCATTCCAACACAACTGTGGGGAGAAGACGCTCTGGACCTGCTCCGTGCTCAGGTCCACAGCGCCTTCTCCCCCGCGTTCTGGACCTGTGTTCTGGACCTGCTCCGTGCTGACTCTATGGAGAAGAAGAATGGAGACTGCTGAGAGTCCGCAAGCAGTGGTTCCAGCAAGAAGTGATACATATTTATTGCTGAGGGCTATCTGCGGCTATATTCTGTCTGGCTTCATGTTGAAATAATTCCAAAGATATATAAATCCGATACGTGTGAGGAAACGGCCGAAACTAGCGATGAAATTAGGCACAAGCTGCAAAATGCAGTTTCTCCTCAGAATTTTCAGGTAAAAACGGAAGCCGAAATAAATAAATTTACCCATTTCATGAACATGTTTGCCTAGCATTCTCTCACCTTGTTATTGATTTAAATCAGCCGTTAACAAAGATCTCGCAAGTGCATAATGAGGCAGCAATACGTACCGTTGTTTGTGAGAGCTTGATGAAAATCGTAAATTTCCACTTCCGCCATCGTAAATTCACGACGCGATATTTGGTCATCGCGGCGTTGCTAACACCCGTATAAAATACGAGTGCTCGGTAATCGTCGCGCAATCGTCAGTTTCGTTGACTCATGTAGACGGGGAAACTGACAGACCAACAGCAGCCCGTAAATGTATCACCACACCACCGAGAAGATTCACAGTACGTCGGGTCACATCTTCCCTACGGCATTTGCATCCACTTGCTGCCGACGGCTGCGGCGGAGACAAGCTCCACAACAGCGCCACACGACGGTAATTGTCGCAACTGTGATCACAACCAGCACGAGGGCGACGTCAATCAGCCAATACTGGAACCAGCTAAGGTGTGCGTCGATCATCCGAAGATGGTCGAGCCGGCCGAAGCGCACCACCATGTTTATCCAGTAGATGGCGCGGTCGGCGGCCGAGTTAGGGTCCAGTCGGCGCAGCTCGGCCAGGTACTGCGCCTTCTGCCGGAAGCTGTCCGAGGTCAGCAGTCGCCGCAGGGCAGCGGTCACCGTCGGCTCGGTCAGCCGATGGCGATCAAGCGTCAGGCCGAGACCGCGGTACTCCAGGAACGCCGCGTTCTCGCCCTGGTCGAGGAAGATGGGTACGCAGAGCACCGGCACGCCGTGGTACAGCGCCTCGAGCACGCCGCCCATGCCGCAGTGGCTGACGAACAGCCTCGTCTGCCGGTGACCCAGCACGTCCAGCTGGGGCAGCCAGTCTACAAGCAGCACGTTCGCCGGTGCGTTCGGCACGCGCGCGGTGCTCATTTGCATTACCACCTTCTGCTTCAGCTTGGAAAAAGCGCTGATGAAGACCTCGATGAGCTCCTGCGGCACGGTGTCCGCGTCGTATCCAGTCATTCCAAGACTGAAGACGACGACACCGTCGACGCCGGCGCTCTCCATGAAGGCCTCAAACCGCGGCGACAGCGGGCGCGCCTCCCGACACTGAATGCAGCCAACGGCCTGCACGTTCGGCGGCAGGTGCGCCGGCTCCGCCGCCAGGAAGTCGGTCCGCACCAGCACTAGGTCGACCTCGCCGAGCAGGCGCTCGGCGGACGGCACGCGCGGGAAGTGACGCTCGCGGATGGCGTCCACGCGGCGCAGGTGCAGCCTCAGCAACAGCTGCTGTGCCAGCACCATCGCCGCGTTCTGCAGCCGTTGCCAGGTGTTCATGGCTGGCGGCAGGCCCGAGGCGAACGTGGGCGAGACTGCGGCCAGGCTTGGCGCCGGCGAGGCGTGGGCCGCCGCGCCCACGAACCGCTTGCCGCAGAAGCCGACCACGGGCAAGCCAAGCGCGCGCGCCAGCACGAGACCACACTCGTTGGTGCTAAGGTCGACCAGCGCGGCGTCGAAACGGCGCCGACGCAGGCTCTCGAAGAGGTCGCGATCTGACAGCAGACGCTCGCAGTGCGCGTACAGCGGCTCAAGGGCGCCGGCCGCCACCAGGCCCAGCCCGCCGCCGGTGCGCCACAGCAGCGACGTCGGCACGCGGTACACGCCGGCCGCGTCGAAGAACTGGGAGCCGGCCGGCGGTGGCGCCAGCCGAAGGTCCATCACCTCGACGGATGAGTTGACCGGGCGTGTTTTGTCTGAGAGCCAGCGCAGCTGGGTGACGTGATAGCCGCCTTCGGCCACCAGCCGCTCGCCCAGGCCACGCAGCACGCGCTCATGGCTGCCGGCGTACAGCGGGTGCAAGATAAGGAGGCGCGGCGCGCCGGCGGCGTCCAGCGCCGCGCCCAGCGTCAGTGACAGCAACAGCGCCAGCACTCGGCAGCAGGATGACGTCATGGTGGGCCGATGTCAGCAGGCCTGCTGAAGCAGCTGACGTCTCACCGCAGAGTAAGAAAGCGAACCTGACACGGGTCTCGCCGGCCCGTGCCTCTCACTGGAGTTCGCCCAGGGGCAGGTCCCCCAACCGGGGTGAGTAGAACGTCGCCAGGTGAGGTGATGCGTATTCTTTTCACTGAACTCCACAAATGGCTGGCTCTTCCCCAACCACAAGTCACTGTCCGCCTGAGGATGCGTGTCCAGACAGACTTCCTTGGCGACGCTGAATAGCGTTTCGTATGCCAGAGCTTGACCTGCTTTAGCCGTTGAACTTCCCGCCAGCTGGCTGGCTTCACGCGCGTGTTGCTCGCTGGCAGTCACGGAGGGCAATGGCTCTTGCTGCGCGACTGTCGTGAGCCCCGACCGAACGCGGGCTGGTCTGCCTTATCGGCCGAAACAGGATGCAGACAGTGCTGCCGCAAGCGGATGATAGTCACATTACAACTGTTGTTTGGCGTCGCTGCGCCTCGTGTCAGTTTGGAGCTTACGCGGCAGTTTGTCCCGGGTGCGTCCTACCGCTGCTACATCATTGCTCTCAGCTTCCGGTCCGTGTTTGATTGGATTCGACTCACTTCCGTTCCTATTGAGAAAACCATGACGGACAGGTCTCAGGCGCAGCGGATGGAAATGAGGGCGGTGAGGTTGGAGGGGTCAAAAGTGAGGAGTCAGGGGAGGTTCCATTTCTGCTTGGGAACGAAAATTTATTATTTTTTAAGCTTGTTCTGACTGGACATCCCTAGGTAATTGGATTTCCATTCGATCAAAATTCAGACACACGCACCCATTCAAATGGCACCTGCAGTCAACCGGTGTCGGTTGCAAAGCGCGATGATGTCAAATAGTTTACGGTCTGCATATTACAGCACTGCGGGCTATATACAGCTTACGTGCTTGCCATCACGTGTCTTTATGCTGCACACACATTTAATCACCAACTGCATTGTGTGGCACACATAATGTGCACTTAAATGTCGCCGTGTCACACTTGCATACAGACGAATGGCCACCCAGTCGGAAGACAAAAGCTAGACGTGCGTGCTGGAGGCCTTGCCAATGCAAGCGAGCTACTTTAAAGCCAGCGTGACTGACGGCAGGACCAAAGCTGATGAACACATAGAGCCTCTGGCGGCGGACCTCGGCAGGCGCTCGGTCCTCAATGTCAGGTCAGGCGGCGGCCCACATCCCACCACGGGCCTGGTCTCCTGCTCTCCTGCTCTCCTGGTCTCCTGGTTTCCTGGTTTCCCGGTCTCTTGTTATCCTGGTTCTCCGGTCTCTTGGTATCTTGACCTCGGTCGCCTGGTCTCCTGGTCTCGTGATTTCCTGATCTCCTGTTCTCCTGGTCTCCTGGTCTCCTGGTCTCCGCCTGGCTGGCGTGAATGCTCTCGAGTCCTCAGTAATCTTGCTCGCAACGCACAACTCGTGTTATCTATCCAGGTGACTTTCATGGGCGATCCCAGGTTCGCCTTACTGGCAAGTGTACTAATGCGATACAATGTGTACCATGGAATGTTTTTCTTTATTGCCCAGCTAAAATGTTGAGATGTTCCTTCCTAGCAATTGCCAGCAAAATTTTTCGCAAAAAAACTGCCCTTAATTCCGCTCTCCCAACTAGTTTGGGCCTATCTCCGCCTCTGCGCGTTTCCGCTCGCCACCGTCACCCGATACCGGCCAGCTCGTAATCGACCTCAGCGGGCCACGTTTTCGATCGATCTCTGAGAAAAATGAAAAGGTACCTACAATAACGCGATCGACTGCGGATGAAGCGGAGAAAACTTTGCGTGTATCTTACGTTATCTCGTTGCGAAAGCTGGTGAAAGCAGCGGTTATGAACCGGGAGGATCGATGTTTGTCTGGGTTGTGGAGTAGGATTTGGCTTGCAACGTGATTGCAGATGATCGTGTGGTACGTGATTTAAAGATAGTTTTGAATTAATTAATGCCTTGCTTACTTCAATTGATCACCCGTTGTGCTGATATTGCTGTCAGGCTGCCGGTCACATAAGCGGAGGAAGGGGGTTGGCTATTGATGTAGTATGCACCTTCCTTGGTGCTCAAATAGCAGTTGGGTGGTGTCCAGAAAAGTTTCTGTTGAAATTGGAAGGACATTTCTGAAACCTCGGCTTAACAGAGGACTTGCAGTTTTCTAGGAGTTGCTTTCGAGACCTCGTATGGAGTCCCGGGGAAGCGTCGCGGGGAACCCCCATAGTTTACCTAGCACTTACTTACACCTTGTAAGCATCCACTTCGTGCCCTAGACACACCGCACCGAAATAATTATTCAGGCGGGAATTGAAACTCCACACGCATACCTTGCACTACCGACCCTCCGTTCATCCCCCTCATAACTCCACGCACATACCCTGCACTACCGACCCTCCGCTCATCCACCTCATAACTCCACACACATACCCTGCATTAGCGACCCTCCGCTCATCCCCCTCACAAACTCCACACACATACCCTGCACCACCGACCCCCCGCTCATCCGCCTCGTAACTCCACACACATAACCTGCACTACTGACCCTCCGCTCATCCACCTCATAACTCCACACACATACCCTGCACTACCGACCCTCCGCTCATCCACCTCATAACTCCACACACATACCCTGCATTAGCGACCCTCCGCTCATCCCCCTCATAACTCCACACACATACCCCGCACTAGCGACCCTCCGCTCATCCACCTCATAACTCCACACACATACCCTGCACTACCGACCCTCCGCTCATCCACCACATAACTCCACACACATACCCTGCATTAGCGACCCCCCGCTCATCCCCCTCATAACTCCACACACATACCCTGCACTACCGACCCTCCGCTCATCCACCTCATAACCCCATTGGGATCAGCGCGCCCACGCAATCCGAACTAGGCTCCTCGACAACAGCTGGTTTGGAGATTGAAATATTTTTGGGTAATAGTCCGGGAGATGAAAACCCAACAGTGAGCACAATAACGACAGCATTTGATGTGAAGAACGTAATATTTTGGTGTATTAGCACAGCATTTTCACTAGACGCGAACAAAGCCGGCGTCTTTAATGTTGGCAACAATTCATGGCCGCTGCCTAGTATTATTAGCATATTTTATAGTTGGCTACAAGATCACAATTGAAATCGGTCAAGATGGAACTTATGGAAGGCAAATTGATTATAATTTTGGGCAAAGAGCTAAATGTTGGTCCAAGTTACCTGAAAGTTCCTCCGCTGTAACCGATTAATCTGACCATGTGTAAAATCCAGTAAGTGCCAAAAAGACAGACCAAATAAGTTACCTACCGAAAGCCACGTGGGGTAGCTTAAACGAGTTGTGCGTTGTAAACGTGGCTAGTATCAGTCAGACGGCGACCCGCGTCCCGTCAGGGACTGGTCTCCTGGCCTTCTGGTATCCGTCTGGCTAGTGTGGATGCCGTCGAGGCTGCGGTGGTCATTTTCAGGGATGGCAAAGCCTTGTGGTACCTGTTGGGGCTGGTCGGTCACAACACACCAGGCCATGACAACATATCGAAATCGATCGAAAACTGTTTCAATTTCAAGACGTGCCATTGCTGGGTGTAATAAAAAGAGCCCACCTGCCGGATGACAAAAGTCATACTTTTGAAATACCCTCCTTAAAAGGCATGCTTTGTCTTGACAAGTGCGCATTTCGAAACAGCTCACAGCTGTGAAAGATGAATCGATGACTTTATTTTGGACCTGCCACCTGCTTTATTGCTGGACGGCGTTGTGCAGGTATGACCGTATCTTGCCCGCGATCCGCTTTAATATACATTTGACAGCGCACGCATATTAGGCTGTGCTAACTTACAGTCGTGAGGAGCGCTGTGAAGCGTCCAGTTTGGTGCCACAAAAGTACATTTTTGGATGAATATACCCAGATGCTTAATCTGGAAACTGAACCCGATCATCAATTGGCAGGTCGCTTTCGGCTTGGTGGGATATGCTAGCTGCAAAAAATACAAGAGGTGATCCAAATAATGTGTTCAAGTTCTGAATCTTTTTCAGAAGCCTGTACGAGTAAATTTGAAACACCTTTAAGCATGTTTTCGACTGTACACGAGTAGGTAACGTATTATTCGTGTTGCTTAAGTATTCTGCGGCAGCATTTATGCTGCGCAGTCGCGTATGAGCTAGCAGCCGTCCCCGTCCACATGTGGCGCACATTCCTACCTGTTTCGGAAGAGCGCGGCGTGCCACATAGCACGTCCTGGCGCTAGCCGACCATGGAGCGGCTGGTATGCTGCTGGTGACGTCACATGTGACGCGCCAGTCACGCTCTGACCTTGACGACGCAGACGGCCGCAGCGGTCGGTTTGACAAGTCAGGGGCGTGTCGCTCTCCGACAGGTTACATGGCTGACTGCGGCCAGTGGGGTGTTACCCAGCGGCGCACGTGGCCCGGCATCCGTCTTCGTCGCGCCATCCGCAAATATGCCGGTGCGTGAAGTCCGAGAGCGTCTTCTCCCAGCGCGCGGGAACTCCGCCAGTGGCGCTGTTGCCTACTTCCTTGCTGATGCCGCCTCGGACAGTACGCACTCTGTGAAAACATCTGCAACCGGCTCACAGGGGTGGAAAGTGTACTTTTTGTCGCCGGCCAAGTTTTGGGGGGAAAATTGTCGCCGGTAGCGTAATGGGGTACCATATGACAAAACGGTGATAAAGTCCATGCCCAATAGCGTGATCCGTAATCAGCCTGTCACCGAAAGTTTCTTCCATCACTGCAATTTTTGATATTATGCACGTAACTGGAACGTTGAGCCATGCGCTGCCCTTGAACAAATGCCGGGATAAGTGCTGCTGCTAGGAAAGCAGGCCCACCCGCCCTAGACTAATGATATAGCCCTATCACAACAGGAACTTTCTTCCACCCTCGGAACTTGCCGGGGCCTCACGTTTAAACTCGATCTACGTTTTAATTTGCTTTCTTCGACCGCAAAAAAGCGAAGGACCTCGATAGGCAGGGCAGCAGAATGCATGGCAGATTCCGAACCAGTAACAAGCTGCACTGGGAATGTGACTGGTAACCATTCTCAACGAGGACAAACACAAAAATGTCATAAAGTGGTATCTCAGAACTATTATCAACATATATGAAGGCTGGTCGCTTGTGACTGCTTCAGTGAGTTAACTGCGTTTTCGGTGTCTTGAAAACGCGGCTTGGATAATAGCAGACCAATTTCCACCTTGATCGGATCATTCTGCCGGCTTGCCCTGGACTGTTAATGCCTCTCGTCACTGAGGACAGGATGCTGAATCACGGTTCAGCCAACGAAGAAAACAGGGCCAGAAATTAAACCCTAGGCAGGTATTCATGACACTGCAATGTGAATGCCACTTGTAAAGTTGCAGTACATTGAAAGTCA